TACAGACGCCAGTCAGCAAACACTGCATTCTTATGAAATGCAAATGAAAAGTTTGGTACTCACGTTAGGAGCTGAGAAGACAGTGACTAAAATACGATCCTGATAAAACTCGTACCCGTCCTCGACCACCATATGCGCGCGGCATACCAAGTCGAAGTCATGACGCTGCAGAAAGTTCATGATAACCTTCTTACCGAAGCAATAACTGACACCGCGTTCGTTGGGCTCCCAATCTTCTTCCATGTCTGCTGGGTCGCTCCACAGCAGATCATTAAGCAGGCCATAGTCAGGCACGTCAGTGGGCCTTGCAATTCCCCGAATATCATCCATGTGAGAGAGACTAGGGGACAGTCCGCCATGAACACAAAAGATCTTGCCAGCGACGGTAGCAGCGATAGGAAGGCAGTTGAATGTATCGATGAAAGTCTTCCAAATCTTGATGTTGCAGCGCCGCTTGCACTCATCATAGAATCCATAAACACGAGTGACGTTGGCACATTCGTGATTACCGCGGAGAAGGAAGAAGTTCTCAGGATACTTGAGCTTGTAACACAGGAGGAGAAGGATCGTCTCCAAGCTTTGTTTGCCACGGTCGACATAGTCGCCTAGGAAGAGGTAGTTGGAAGCGGGAGGAAACCCACACATCTCGAAAAGTCGAATTAAGTCTGTATATTGGCCATGGACATCGCCGACGATTTTCACAGGAGCCGACAGCTCTAGCAATGCAGGCTGGGAGAGGAAGAGCTCCCGTGCCGCCGAACAAATGGCCGTGATCTCCGCATTCTTGAGGCAAACAGTCTTTGTGACTTTGGTAGAGTAGCCGGCATCGAGAAGTCTTGAGATCATATCATCAAGGTCGATAGACTTCAGAGCACCCATTCCCATACCTGGAGATCCCGAAGTCTCTAATGGAGCATTCATGATGAAGTCCAGGATAGGATTCAGTTGGTTCTCTCTTTTGATGAGGATCGATTCGCCGACTTTCTGGGACGATGGGCCCGAGGGCGCAGCTCCGGAGGGAGGTACATCGGATACATGGTCGACCTCGCCACTCTGCTGCATCGCATTGACATCTTTATGGCCTCGTTTCAAGCTACTCGACAGGGAAGGAGATGGAGGAGGCTGAGGAGCATCGGGTTGAGAAGAGATATCATCGGGAGACTGGACGCTTTGGTTGGTGGAACTGCGTCTACTGGTTGTCGACTTGACCGATGCTGCATCGGATTTATCGTCCGACAATCCTGCAGTCGATCCTCTGGGACTGTCGTTACTCCGAATCTTGGACCGGATGGAGCCGCGAAACGAGCGAAGAGACTCCTTGGTATCACTGCGAGAGAAGGAAGGATAGGACTGCAGAGACTCGCCAGGGCCAGAATTGCCCTTGGAATGCGACTGACCCATTACCACAAGGCGTGGGTATCTGGCAAGCTCGAGATTGTAAGATCCACAAAAACGTGTCTATTCAAGACGATACGAAGTTCCGGACTCGCACTGGAATGCTCCGGCCTGTCTTGGCCTGCACGACGGTGCTGAGGTTATAAAATTGGATAGAAACCCGCCTGTGGAATTGAACGGAGAGTATGCCTTCAAGGCGTGCTTGGAAATAGTTCCAGGAGCGGAATATTGCAATTATTGTTCGTTTGTCGACCGATTATTGTCGTTCCAGGACGAGGATTTCCGCAGCAGTTGTACCGACCGTTCAAGTCGAGGAAGGAGGAGGGGAATTTGCAGGAACCGACCGAGAGGAGAATAGCATCACAGTACAGTGTCCAAGCCACAGAGCAAGCTGGTCGGAAGGGAAAGCTCCGATTCGCCGGTAAAGAAGAAGCTTCTGAAATATGTGAGTTAGTATGTGCGGAGCAGGGTAATGAGGGACAGGAGACTGGGGACTGTGCAGGTGACCGACAACGAAATACTACTAGGGCAATGGTATGTGTGGGGAGGTGGCTGGAGAGGATTTGCGTGACGGGATGAGTTTTGAGTTGCCTTAGGATGGAGGGGAGGAAGAAAGGATTGCACTAGATGGGGAAATACTGCGTCATTATGGGGTCTGCGATGGGCGGACGGAGATACGGTACCTGGTACTGGAGCAGATCGAAGGGACGAGACGAACCTATGAGAGCCTATGAGGCAGTACAGCTCGACAAAGTATGAGGTGAAGAAAAGAGTCTGAAGCTGTGAGGAAAGTAGAACGGGCTGAAGAGAGGGAAAAGAGTAATTTTCTCTGTTTGTAGCAAGTGAGTTGATTGTGGCGTAGAAGAAAGAGGTCAACAGGTGTACTAGTACGGAGTAGGTACCACTTCGTTTGCTGGGATTTGCTGGGATTTGCTGGGCAGCAGATTGTCACACTCGCCTTCCCAATCTCCAGGCCGTCATTTTTGGGTCTCGATCATGCAGCGGGTGTGGCATTCCCCGGATCATTTGTCGGCCCGGATAAGCTCGGGTTCTTGGTATGGAGCGCCCAGAGCCTATTGAAGAGTTGCCCCAAGTCGATGATGGTGATACCGTGCCTAGTTCTATAAATAATCCGAATACAGTCTATGGTTACTCCGTAGATTCTCCATGTTTACTTTGTCAGAGCCCCAATTTCCGACAATTCATCAAAGAGGTCATTAGCATCATCACATTGACAGGCCCGCTGCTTGTCTTACATCAAAGAAGAGAATATGAGGTAATGGTGACCAATCACCTGCGATGCCTCATTGTCATCTTTCCACTTCTACCTTTAGACTCCCGGATACTGCTGAGCCACTGGTCAACAGCGCCTCTGGACGCCTCGTGACTGGCAAGTGTTGTAATTGAATTTGACACATCTCAGCACGGACAACACGATCTCGTTTTCCCCCTCTTTTCTCTTGGCTTGGCGGGTTTTTCCAGTGTTCTGGACTTTGGAGTTTTTAAAGATCTGAACTCATTCTACAAGGAGATTTGAATTCAGTCTGGAGAGCATGTGATGGGCAGTATGAGTCACCCGTTCTCTAGCATATAACTACCTATACATAACAGTCATCTAATGCTTCTCCCGATTATACCCATGCTGGATGCATTCTGATTGCTTGAAGCCCTTGATCGTATCTCTCGGGTTGGTGGATATGTAAATGCTTTCGGGGGCATCCGAAATCGGCCCACTAAATCTGGCTCTGTCAAGCTAAAGTGACCATGCAAAGCAGACAAGCCTGGACCAAGCTATGCCGCCAGTCGCCTTGATCAATAAAGCTAGCTAGTCAGTAGCAAGTTGCATTGTTGACTCGTCAGTTTTTGAGTCCGAGCATTGAACGGGATGAATAGGAATCTTCCTCAGTTCACTGCAGGAACACCGCCATTTCGAACCCCACCCTGGGCCAGTGCTGAGCTGACTGTAGCTACTATTGCCAAGCCATATGTCCTGCGCCAAGTGTTCTCCTGCTCTGTCCTCCAGCCACGTTGTAGTCATATAGATAATGCGAGAAGCTACGGTGGTTATCCTGCCGGCGTCTTGGCGGCGAGCGATGATATCTGATTTGTGCACAGCAGGAGTTTTTCAAGCAACAGGTCCGATAATCTCCTCGCTGCCGAAATACGCAAGAATGTTGCACAAAGCAGTTCACCACGCCCCTCCTTTCGAGGGCCCCATAACTCTCATCATCCCCTTCATTCGTTGTAGAGCCTTGACCACGCGACTTGCGCCGGCCAAAATTTGGAGCAGCTGTGACAGACAATGTCTGCGTATAGCTCGGCTTCACGAACATCGGAAATGCCCAGTCAAAGAGAGGTGTTATGACTTCCGCAATGTGTCTCGTAGACGGCTCTGTTGAGGCGTTTCCTCAAGTTCGATTTTCGTGATATGCTGCCCAGGAACAACGACAAGACCGATAAACCGACTGGTCATATCCACTGTGGCCTTTATCGGCTCAGGCTTTGCTTCGATTTGTTCGTTATTGGTGTTTGCCGTAGCATCCCTGATGGCTGATGGGGAGGGAAAGCGATATTCGTACGTGCTCGCGAGGATAATATTTCTTTCCTGGAGACATAAGCCCCAGTCAGTGATTGCTCGTAATACTCCCCATGATAATATTTGTCCGTGCCTTTCTTCAAGACCTGGAAACCGGGTCATGACAAGGCCATGGCGCACTCACCGCATCTGTACATTTGAAAGTGCCTACAAACATGCGCGTGTCTGTAGTGTGCACTCGCAATGTTTGTCCAATTAACGACTCCAGATAACGAATAGCCTGCATTTCCTCCATGAATTTATGTTTCGCCGCCGTCTGAGAAGGCGAAGACAGCAGTTTCACCTTCGACTCCGTGCGTTCGGCCAATGGAAGCAGTACGTTGCCTGTTTTGGCTGCTGAAGAAGAATAACGAAGGACCGCTCTACGCGCCAATTGGTGAAATAGGGGAGAGAATTGACCAGGTCCTCGGTCTCTTCCGGGCAGGAGAATTTGGTTGGGTTTCGTAAATACTGTCGATCGGCTGACGACTGACGGTCAGTTGTTGAGCGAAACCTGAGGCTTTCAAAGTCTCCGCCTCAGTGTGGTCGCATGTGACACAGCACCTCATCATTCGTTTTAGGATATTGATACAAATCTTCCTAGTAAACAACAAACAATTCTCTACTTCAAGAAAGTAATATAATTTTGTAGACTACTAGTCTCATTTGATTTTAATTACTCCTTTCAAGTTTACTTTCGATAAATATGATGTGGTTATATTCAGGCTTGGGGGTGTCTTAGAGATGTGCATCTTGGGCAGAAACCAACCTGACAGCGCCAGGAACAGGTCAATGAACGGTCAATGCTGGGAGTGAGGGTGATTAAGCGATCAGGATAATGCACCAAAGCGGTCAATCAGACTTATTTGAAGGGATCACTGGCTGGTACATGGCAGCATTGTCTCCGGCCGGATGTTATAGGTATCCAGATAACCAAGAGAAGGGGTATATCATCGCGGGTATTGGGAGTCGCTGATACGCCCCGGCCGTGGCATACGTACGGACAGTCGATTCGAAGGAGATAAGACAGTCATGCCCACGCCAGAGCTCCAGCCCATCTATTCGAATCTTGACCTGAATCGTCGGAACTTGATTCCATGCCCATATCCGCATGGGCGCTCGCAAACTGTGATGCTGAGCTACTTGAGCTACTCTCACTTGACATGCCTGGTGAGGCTATAATATGATTGCAATTGTGCAGGAGAATGCTCGTCGACTGTGAGGTATGGTGCGTTCGTTGGTCTGTCGTGTCATTTGAATGGGGAAGAGAAGAGGAAGCGTGATATGTATGAAAGAATTTATGCAAGGTTTGTTGGCGGGGGTCGGTGATTTCTGATGGCGGTAGTGGTACTGAATCCATGTCTGCGTCTTCATCCTCATCTTGAACGATTGGCGGAGCAGGTCCGTGTTGGTGCTTTTGAGCACTGAACAACCAGCGGAGAGTATTCTCTATAACCATCAATCAACGAGGCTGAAGTATATTAAGCGTAAGACCAGGCCTGTTCTTACCATATACCACTTTCTCATCTGGTCGATCATCTCTGAAACGCTTCCGTGTTCGGCTGTGAAGATGTCTTGGTGGATCTTCCACCATTCGCGACGACCCTGCGACAACTGGCACCGTATTTATGGGCGAAAGCGCGGAGAACGAAGCTTTTCGTTTGAGAGACATGGTCCTCTAGTGCGCTGCAAACAATGATCCAGAAGTCGAGGTCATCAGAGTCTCCGCGCTGTCAAACGGCCGCTTCTAAGAATGGCGAACTTGTAGAGCAATGGAGAAGCAGTATCACGAAGAAACACACGCCAGCGCGAGTCCATTCGCAGAAGGTAAAGAAGAGAGGTAGTGTGTCCACGAGGCTGAAATGCAAGGAGTTGCTCGCGAGCACATATGCAGGGAAATCGAGAGTGGTTGGCTGCACAGCGCGTCCTGGCGATACGAAAACTCGCGTCATAATTGGTTTGCCAGTTAAAAAAATGTACGCTAGGCCACATTGAGATTAATTGGCACCATATGAGGGAAGACCAAACGATCGTGACAGTTATAAGAAATAAAAGACCAATTGATACTCAAAATAAGATAAAGGAGTAATAAAATGATGGAAATCAGGCCTTGTCTTCAAGGCTGAGTACTTTTTGTCTGGCTGTCTGTCCAAGGTCAGTTACACATCCTCATGGTAAGGTCTGCGGAGTCACACGAGCTGTTGCACACTTTACTCCCCAATAACTCATACAGCCTCAAGTCACTAAGAGAGTCGGATATAATCAACTAACGGACGGAGAGATATTTCCAAAATCAGAACACGAGCCGGCCATCTTTTTAAAGAATCAATATTGACATATGAGAATTCCTAATGACAGTGGTAGGCAAAAAAGCTGCCTACTATATATCTCGCCATCAAAACTGGAGGAAGTACAGGCAGACACGCTATGAATCGGGGTTAGAGTCGATGATGTTTACGAAACCAGTATGTTTCACAGCCTAACAAAGATCATCAGGTCCTACCTTATTGATCTGACTGAAATCTTGCGTAGCCACTATGGGCTACTGAGGACTATGTTCGGCATGCCGCTTTTGGCTGGACCTAACGAGCCCTTTCTCAACTCATGGAGAGCTCAGGAGGTCCGGACACGCCCACTGAGACAGTCGGAATTGAAAGTGTAGTTGCGGCCACTAGGTGTGCTATCGGTGTAAGTTGAGTTGTCCAGGCAGACAGCAGGGGGCATAGCTCCTGTCAGGGCCAATGCAAAAAGTGTTGACGTATGTGAATTCAGGCAGTCATCCCAAGTATGCATCCTGAAAGAAGTTCACTAGGGACTTAATATTGGATGATGCGCCACTGTTCACAGTCCATGCATAGTAGAGCATCACCATCTCCAGGCGTCAAGCAGTAGTTGGTCCAGTGTGGTTGCTCTCACTGAGCTGGACCACTGGGTCATTACATGATTGGGGAGCACCAGCGTCATTGTTTCCGTGCCCTGCAGGAGTTGCAGAGTGGATTGATGCCCAGTTAGGGTTGGTTAGCTATGAGAAGGCTGGGTAGTGTATTTAGCAAGTTCTGGAGTGAGTTGACCTCACCCCAGGAACTGTAGAATGCCGGTTACAGTACAGCCTGCGGACGGATGCCACACGATATGCTCCTGCAGAAAGCCTGGCAGGGCAGGTTTCAGATGTCCTGATTGAATCAACGTATTGTCCGGAACATAGGTCCCTAGAATTTTGCATTGTTACCATACCATGGTTAGGATCGTCTGTAACAGAGTCGGACTCGTGAGGCTAAATTCACGCGACCCCTTCTGAGGGTCGATAATATTGAACGGATTGCAAAAAGAGCCGTCGTTGATTGGAATGTCCTGGCCCGTAACCTTCAGTCCTCGGAGGACCTTGTGGATGGACCGGTTTTCCATATCAGCCAGCACTATATTTTTAATTTTGTCCTTATAGTCCTTGATCAAACGAGCTGGACCTGGCTATTGCATGGTAGGAAACGCTGCAATTTGTAGTCGCTGAGGCCACAAGAGCCAGCAAAATAGTGAGATTCATGATTGTGGCCAGCAATGTCGCTAATTGAATGAGTGCTATACTCTGATAGATGAACCGCTTCTGCTCACCCATAAAAAGGGATTAATCGTCCATTTTATATTAAGCCCGTCTGGAAAAGCATATTAGATGTCATTTTTGGTTACCTTTCGAATGTCACTAATATAAGGACTTGATTCTTAATTGTGGGCTAATATTGGATTGCATTTTCGGCAGTCTAGTCCACATTGCTGGTATGCTCTATCGTGCCATACACTTCCTCGAGTCTCGCCGACAATAGATACATTAGGGAAGGATGCCTATTTTTGCAGTTGCATCGTGCTGGTTCGATAGGCCCCCAGCACTGTCTGAAACAATGGTCAAAAGTCGACCGTAATTTGGCATACTTGCTCACATATATCAAACATCTTACGGGTACAACACCACATTCCTTGACTGGCTGCTTTTCGGAAGCATGTGTGATGGAACACCGCAGCATATGGACAAAAAAGAGAGGAATAACGCAACGACTTGACAGTAGACCGGGCTTATCCCGAAAGTCAGTTGAGTTGTACCTTGATTGAATTAGTACTCGAGACAGCACCTAGTATGGCCAGTCCATGTACGCCAATGAGGGTACTAGGTTAATGTGTAGGCCAGTGTGCACAGAGTTTTGGCTACACCATGGCTGCAAATCTCGATGCATCTGAGAGCGTGGTCAGTTCTGGTGTTGACCTCTGGCCAGTGGGACAGGGTCTAATCTGAAGTGAACGTAAATCCAGAGAGCAAATAGTCAAAACCCATGGTCCTATGGCGGACATCCACCGGCATTATTTATTGAATGCGAACATCAAGCAATTGAAATGGCGTTGATTATATAAGAACAATTACTGACTGCTGGGCCAGTTGCCAACTTTCGGCTTCCCGATTCCTGGCTCCACTCTGTCACTCGATCCGATCTGCCTCAGTTACTCCAAAGCCAGTGCTTGCGGGTCCTCCGACCAGCTCTAGACAAGGCACGTTTCTCGTGGCTAGGCCATTGATTTCACGCAACGAGTAATGCCTAGTATTACATATATAAACCAGGTACACAGGCTGTCAGGATGTGTACATATCATGACTGGACTGTTTAAGCTTCGACTAGTGCTATTTAGACTGATTCGGGAAACCCCCCTGTCCCTTGCCAATATTTGCCGATAGGATCTCAACCAATAATGTCAGCGCATGATTTACACGTGCTAAATAATATAATCAAATGATATAGAACTCATCGCTGGGACTATAGGGTGATTTAAAATTACCTGAAAATTCTCGACAATAGCTTATATATAATCGGGAATAAGACTTTTCATGCTCGTTATTCCTCAATCAAAACATCTCACAATTGTACTACAATGGATAGTATTGCGTCTTCCATTTTGGCTGCCATCGCAGTGTCCACTCTCTTCACCGGCTCTATCGCGGCTCCTACCACCCAGCAGCATGGAACCTATCCCATGCAACTTCGTCTGGCATATGCCGGACCACACGGCATGACTGTCAGCTGGAACACATACTCGCAGTTGCCTCATCCAACAGTTTGCTTTGGGCGCAGCCCCAAGCATCTAAACCGATGTGTCTCCTCTAACGTCTCCGTCACCTATCCCACTTCCACGACTTACAACAACCATGTCTCAATAGCCGGGTTGGAAGCTGATACACTGTACTACTACCTGCCTCAGCATAGCAATGAGACTACTCCCTACACCTTCAAGACTAGCCGTCAGGCCGGTGATCAGACCCCTTACACCGTCGCCGTCGCAATTGATATGGGTCTTATGGGTACCATGGGTCTCACCACAAGTGTTGGAAAGGGGGCTCACAATCCTCTTGGCCCTAACGATAACAATACAATCCAATCATTACTGGCCCAAGGAGTCAACACTGACTTCCTCTGGCACCGTAAGTCTTCTCAGAAGTAACGCCTACTGAGCAAAAATCTAACATCTCTCAGCTGGCGACATTGCGTACGCTGACTACTGGCTTAAGGAGGAGATCCAGGGGTTCCTCCCTAACACCACCGTAGCCGATGGTACTAAAGTGTATGAGAGCCTGCTGAACCAGTATTACGACGAATTGTCAGTTATTACTGCTCACAAGCCGTATATGGTTGGACCTGGTAATCACGAGGCTAACTGTATGCATTTCCCTGGGGCATAAATATTTTACTCATCTGCTAACCGCCACCGTAGGCGATAATGGTGGCACCACTGATAGTGCCCACAACATCACCTACAATGTGGGCATCTGTATGCCTGGCCAGACTAACTTTACCGGATTCCGAAACCACTTCCGCATGCCCAGCAGTCAGTCTGGTGGTGTGGAGAATTTCTGGTACTCATTTGACAACGGGATGGTCCACTACATCCAACTTGACACTGAAACAGATCTTGGCCATGGGATAGTCAGCCCTGATGAGCCTGCGGGAGCTGAGGGCGAAGATAGTGGTCCCTTCGGTCTTTACGATCAGCAACTGAACTGGCTTGAGAAGGACCTGGCCTCTGTTGATCGGGCTAAGACTCCATGGGTTGTTGTTGGTATGTGCAGACCGAGTACTTGACCGCATGACTTGAGTACTAATAGTGAATGTCTATTCAGCCGGCCACAGACCCTGGTATGTCAGCGGCAAGAACCAGAGTGGCACCATTTGCGAGAATTGCCGCGAGGTCTGGGAACCCTTGTTTCTAAAGTACAATGTCGACTTAGTCCTGTCTGGCCATACCCACTACTACGAGCGGAATGCCCCAATTGCCAACTTCAACGCTGATCCGAACGAGTTGAATAATCCCACTGCCCCCTGGTACATTAGCAATGGAGCTGCAGGTCATTATGATGGACTAGATTCACTGGTCCGCCCTCTCCAGAGCTACTCCCGCTATGCACAGGATACAGCATATGGATGGAGCAAATTGACGTTCCACAATTGCTCGCACTTGACACATGAGTTCGTGGCAAGTCGGAATGGCACAGTCTTGGATACTGCTACATTGTTCAAAGATCGGAAGTGCAAGCACTAGGTGAGATTGCAGCGCGTCCCGTGTGTAAGCTCTATACCAAGTAGAGCGTCGATGGCACTTTTTAACTGGCAGATGTGAGGATATGGGCAACTGGAGATTGTATGCAAATACAGGCAGTCGCATGATTCCCATCCAATGACAGGCAGCCAGAGGAAGCAATTATCTGGTGGTGTGGGCAACCACTGTGACTATAACTATTGGCTAAAGAATCTGGCGGAGGGAATTGGGGATATTGGTGATGGTGCATTTTATTAGGTAACCTTACTTCGGGACTCGGGTACACTGTTTATTACCTATGCCGCAAGCTCTAGTAGTGTTGACGGACTCCACTATGACGATGTCCCGCTTCCCCGCCCCCATGGACGATGCTTCCCCAACTCGCTCAACAATAATTGAAGACATTAGAATTGCAGTCTCCAGGATATATGCGAAGATTTTCAAGTATCAAGAAGGAAAAGCAGACATTATGCAGTCCAGAGAGCCCTCCCACGCAGGCTCTTGGTACTCTGACAACCGAAGCACTTTGACCCGCCAACTGGACCAGTGGCTTGCGCAAGTTCCCAACGAGATAGAGGGAATCGGCTCCTTGCCCGTACCTGGCTCCCGAGTTGTCATTGCCCCGTATGTATCATAGAGATCTCGACAAGAAAGTATCGTACTCGGGAGTTTGGCGCTGATGATCCAGTCACGCGGGCTATGCCTACTCAGGACCATGTGCAGCTTACGCATACAAAGCTCTGGACTTGTCCAAGGCGTGAGAAAAAGGCCCTGCTCATTGCTTGCTGTTGTTGTTTGCTGATTGATTGAGGCCAGGAAGCGGATTTTTGTGCTCGGCCCATCGCATCACCACTACCTCTCGACACTTGCTCTCCCTCAACTTACGTCCTACTACACCCCGCTTTCGGACGAGCCTCTACCGCTTGACACAGAGCTTATCGCCCAGCTTCTTTCGACGAAAGCAGTTAAACCGAATGGGTCAACAGTCAGTTTCACAACTATGACCCGGTCAATCGATGAGGATGAACACAGTATTGAGCTTCATCTGCCCTATATCCACCGTCTGCTACAACTACAACATCCCACCAAGCGGACATCTCAATATCCACCCCTGGTACCCATTTTGGTCGGAAGCACTTCTGCGTCCACAGAGCAAGCCTTTGGAGCCCTACTTGCTCCTTACTTGGAAGATCCTTCCAATGTGTTTGTGATTAGCTCAGATTTCTGCCACTGGGGCCTTCGCTTCAGCTACACATACTACGTCCCCCAAGCTCCCAAGCCTGGGCCGAAGCTTCCTCTTTCCGCCGATGCTCTGCCTCAGCCGAGCGACGACCTGGATGAGTTCGAAGAAAAAATTGAGCAGGTGTCAGCGGGCCAGTCCCTCCAGCGGAGGGACCGGATTAACAGTCGTGAGCCAGCGATTCACGAGAGCATTTCTGCTTTCGATATCGCGACTATGGCTGCCATAGCTACAGGCGAGACCGAGAATTTTCTTGATGCCATACAAAGAACAGGTAATACGGTATGCGGCCGTCATCCCATTGGGGTGATCATGGCCGCGATTGAAGCAAGCAAGATTCAGGAGGACGGGAAGAAGGGCGCGTTCCGTTTCATTCGGTACGAGCGTAGCTCGGATGCAGTTGATGTGACTGACAGCTCCGTGAGCTATGTCTCTGCCTTTGCTGTCTTGTAGAAAGCCGTCGTCGTCCTTGACTTCTACCCCTGAGCGCTTACGGAGGGGAGTTACTTAGGTTGCTTACACAGTTAGACTAACTATAAGTAGTCTATGATTTGTTTACCTTATGGTATGATGCGTATGATGCAACCAGTCTTGGGCCATTATATGCGATTTACCGATTCTCTTAGTACAACCCCGTACGCCTCCATATCGTCCAATGATGCGAACTCGCAGACACGAAACAGTAACACCATGGACGTCGCCAGAGCTGCGCATTCAGTGACACATGTTCTGAGCGGACACGAAAACTTCCCTTCCACCGAGCCTATAGCTGTGTGCCTGTTTGAGCTGTTACAGCTCATCTTCATCTACTTCGCCGATCTCTGGCTTTAGATGCAACTGAAGACAGGGATGGCAGCCCAAGAATCGTTGCAATGACCCTAAGATTCACTATCCGCGTGTTTCATGGAGACTCCAATAAGAGACAGTTGGGGCCATGTAGATATCACACGGGTTTGAATATCCAACTTCGCGGTTACACAAACAGAAAACGCAGTGCATCAGTGGTTCGAATAAGGTCGCAAGCCATCGCGCCACATCTAAAACTATCAAGTGCTTCGGGTGCTGCATTTACCGACAGCAACCCTTACAACTGCAGTGTTCCAGTTTAAGAGCATATTCCATATGCTCGGCGCCCTCCCTTCCCAATCATAACCCAACAAGCCCACGACCACATAGATTCCGTACGTCCGGTGATGAGATCGCGTGGCTGACCGGCCAGGAATGCTACCCCGCAAACTTGAACTTGGATTCATGGCTTCTCAGGGTTACAGAAGCTTGTTGACGGCATAAGTTGTAATATGGTATACGGCATATGCAGTACTGTTTCGGCTTTCGTTGTGCCCCGCCATCCCCACCATGAGGCTCGAAACAGCGAAGACGAATCATGCTTTTCACATAATCAAAGTAATCATGAATTCTGAACGTTTGGATGAATACCGACAATGACGTTATTGAAGACAGATGACCTTTGTTTAAGGTGCTCGGCTCTCGCGTCCCCAGCCCTCTTAGGGTCCAATTGGGGCTATCCGAACCATTCTAAGAATGAGAATCTCCCAAGCTTCTGGTCTTAGTCAAGTCATGCACGGATCGCACAACAAGCTTTAAGCTTCTCTTATCCCAGATGATGCCGTCGTTTGACTCTAATGTTCCCGTGGCCTTTGCTGAAGCCCGACTGATATTCAGTTTCTGGCTGGAACGGCTCCTTCATGTCTCGGCGCCAAAATGAGCCCGACCATTGGGGCTGCCCTACGCATTTGAGACAGGACACTTAATCTCAGGAAGAGTGTCTTGACAAGATTTGTGTGATACCGTTACAATCATTGGCCTCATGATGAGACGCTGCTACGGTCCTGAAGCTTGTTTTCAGGCCAATGATAACTTCAGAACGGAATATCAGAGATCTCTGCTGAGCACACTGCAACCGTAACATGGTCCTTCAGAATGGCCAGTGAGAGTTGAATTTACATTCTTGTTCTGAATACAAAAAGGCCATTCCTTCAGACCTCTCTGCTCTCAGAACATGTCGACAAACTAGCACACAGCCAAATCTGGCTTCTTCGAAACCCTCATTCCTTTCGACTTGTTGCAATCATTTAGCTCATTAAGTCCGTTCCTTCAATACTATCATGGTCGGTCATGCCACGATGAAGCACGCGTTTGCTTTGCTGCATTTGATCCCAAGCAAAGACTGATTGTCTGCAGATGATGCTTCTCAAATCACTCTCCTTTACCCTCGCTGGGCTGTTGGCATTGGCAACTGCCATTCCGATGCCAAAGGCCCTTTCAAGCGATGTTTCTACCGAGGCCAGTGCCACCGACAGACTTGTGTTCTGTCATTTTATGGTAAGTCAAGAACCCGTCTAGGTTGAGTCCGAAGCAAGTGACTGACATTTGACTTCATTCTAGATTGGCATAACTAGCAACCGCCAGAGCGCCGCGGATTATGATGATGATATGCAACGCGCGAAAGCACTGGGAATAGATGCATTCGCTTTGAATATTGGCGTGGATCCATACACTGATACGCAGCTCAATTTTGCCTACGAATCTGCCGCAAGAAACAACATGAAAGTTTTCATCTCATTTGATTTCAACTGGTATAACACTGGACAAGCCACTGCCGTTGGACAGAAGATCAGACAATATGCTAGTCTACCAGCACAGCTCAAGGTAGATGGTAAGGTCTTTGCCTCCTCATTTGCCGGCGACGGCCTCGATATCCCTGCCATGAACTCCGCCGCTGGCACCGAAGTGTTCTTCGCGCCGAATTATCATCCAGGAGTGGGAGACTTCAATGCTATCCAAGGTGCACTTAATTGGATGGCTTGGCCTAACAATGACAACAACAAAGCACCGACCCCAGGTCATAATGTGAGCGTTGCAGAAGGTGACAGTAAATACATCGCAGCCTTAAATGGAAAGCCATACGTTGCACGTGAGTCTTGAAGTTCTGAACCTTTGACTTTGGCTCACAGAAAACCAGCTGTCTCGGGTTGGTTCTCAACCCATTTCGGCGGCGAGGTTCCCTATAGCAAGAATTGGGTCTTTCCTTCGGATCTGCTCTGGTATGACAGATGGCAAGAGATCTTGAATCTCGGACCACGGTTCGTGGAGATAGTTACCTGGAATGACTACGGAGAGTCACACTATATCGGACCACTGTCCTCGCCTCATACAGATGACGGAGCCTCCAAATGGGTGATGGATATGTAAGTGATTGCAACCATTGTCGCCAAGTATAGCGCTGACAGCTTCTTCAAGGCCACACAATGGATGGCTGGAAATGTCAAAACCTTTCATCGCCGCTTACAAGGCCGGCGAAAAGTCCGTCAACAATTACATCACCGAAGACAAGTTGATCTACTGGTATAGACCAACACCTAAAGACATCAATTGCGACTCAACAGATACTACTATGCAGGGAAATCCGAACAACTCAAGTGGAAATTTCTTCCGCGGACGACCAAACGGGTATGAGACGATGAGCGATGAGGTGTTTGTTGTCTCATTGCTCACGTCACCCGCTACTGTTCAGGTCACTTCAGGGACGGGCAGCCAGACATTCCAAGCACAGGCCGGGGCCAGCGCCTTTGCAGCACCAATGGGCATCGGCAAACAGCAGTTTTCGCTCCTGCGCAATGGGCAAACCGTCATGTCTGACACAAGTCTGAAAGACATTGTCAACAGCTGCATCTGCGGCATCTACAACTTTAACGCCTATGTGGGCACCGTGCCACCGGAGACGACTATTGACAAACTCCAACCAGCGGGACTGCAGATGCTGTATCAGGGACTGACAGTACCATGCCCGACTAACACTCTAGGACTTGCTAGCCCTAGTGCCACCGCTTAGTAGGCATGCAACTCTCAAAGTTCCAGACTTTCGTTTCCTTTGTGCCAGACAAGTCGTCGGGTCATTCGTTACAAGGGAGGGTAGGGCTCAGTCGTTACCTTTCGTTGACTTTGCTGGCCAAATGCTTGCATTAAGTGTCGCTCCTTTGCATGAACTAGGGATCTATAGGGAGGAATTCGTCACTCGCTTACGAAGTGCAACTCATGACCATGATACCATGAACAGTTATTGTTTTTAAATCGAATGCTGGCATCGCAAAAAAGGATCTGTTCCCTTGGCTTTCTCCGTAGTAGTCGTAGTAGTCGGATAATGTTGGCAACTACTCTCTTGAGACTCATGGATTTTACTCCGACACAGATAAAACTATAATGAACTGTTGAGAGGGCCTTACAGGAGTATGAAATACGGATTGTGGACAAATGCGGCCCTCAGTTTGCCCGCACAATTGAGATGCAATCAGTTTGTCAATTATATTGAACTGTTATTACTACATTGTGATATCTATCACGTCGGAAATCATCGGGTGGTGGTTGCTCCTGACACCGAGAGCCACCGATAAGGACTTTCAGTAGACTACTCGTAGACTCTTTCAGGAAGGATCTTATCAGTGAATCATAGCGTTATCTCCCCCTTCCTTTATTTAGATCCAATGCCCTTTTTTCCATCCTATACTTCTTCACCGACACTTCATCTATGTCTGATCTTCAGTTCCTCTACTTACACTATGAGACTTTCAGTTTTCGATCACCGGATAACATTGACTCGACCGCTACTCCTGACGCGCTTACTATCGGTTTCCCCTCCCCCACCAGCCACATATGACCCGACGTTCGGATATCGCGTGATTCATTCCTCCTTCTATCCATAACATCTCCTGCGTTAGCTACTCGCGTCTCAACAGCTTACAGCAAAGGGCCGATTTGCTCATAGTATACCTACTATCATTATTCTATATTGAAACCATGGAGCCTATCATAGTCTGTTAGATGCTGTGCGGGGTTGAGCTGAGCTAGATTGCCGGTGACGAGAGCGTTGGTCTATTTAATTTTGAAGAGGTATATATTGGCATTTTGGGTAACGACTCAGTCATGGCGAGGATCAAGCAGGGCGTTTTCTCCTGGGAGGATGTGCTGACCCAGCGGTACCAAAGTAAGTCGAGATATATCCCCTGTAGCCTGGATCCATACTTGCAAATCCCTCCTCGTACGGAATGTACCTCGGAATTCAAAGCAGTATCATGCAGCGCATGACTGACTGAGTCATCCAGACAACAAGCCAGCAGCCCTACCCAGATCGAGAAGGCACAGTATCCTCTCCGAACAAAGCCACTCCCAGAAGCGGACCGACACACGGCTGGAATGGATGTTTCAGCCTGACTGCTCGCTACTGATAAACCTCGCGCCTGAGTTGCGCCTTCTGATCTGGGAGATGGTCTTGGGTGGGATGCGTATACATATTATCCAGCGGCCGAACCGCCGGATGGGTCACATCGTATGTTCGCATGCCGAGACCTGCGATATCTGCAGCGGCAATGTGCCACAGCTGGCCAAAGACGAAGAGGCCAGGCGAAAGACTCAACTGCTGTCTCTCGCGTTGACCTGTAAACTGATGTAAGTAATCTCGTCCCTGGAAAGACAATGGTGCCCTGCCATCCCTTTCTCCCGGCCCGATTTATCTGATTCGAAAGCTCAGCTACTGCGAATCCATCCACCTGTTGTACACGCTCAACATCTTTGAGTTCAGCAATACCTGGTCCCTAACATATCTCCGTCCAACCATCCCTGCCGATTTCTGGGACTGTATTCGTGCAGTCGAACTGCGCTGGGCGTTCCCAGGCCACTGGCTCCCCAGTAAAGACCCGGTCAAGACGGTCTATTTCTCCGCTGGACGCCAGCAGTGGGTCGAGACCTGCCGCGCCCTGACACGGATGAAAGGCCTGCAGTCGTTCACTCTGCAGCTGATGGGGAACTGGTTTTGCGAACCGGTGGAGAAGATCCCTGTGTTTCTAGAGCCTTTGAGGGAGCTGAACCTGAAGAACCGGTGGAAACTACAGTTGCCCCGGCAGCCATATTATGTTAAGGAGATTCGGAATATTGACGGTGATCTGCGCCAGAGGGGCATTGACTGTTCTATTCGAGCCGTGTGATGTACGGAGTACTTCCCGTTACTGATCTGTATTGATTAATCAGCAATATTCAAGGTAGATTCTAATCTTGAATATGGAGTATTCTCGTAAATCATGCATTTTGACATTGCATTGCCTGGAAGAGCCCAGCTCCTTATACTCCGAGAACATAAGATCCGGCCCCTGCTATCTCCGATTCCACTCTGCCCGACTTCCTATCAACCCTCACAGCGAGCAGAGGCATATCTCTATCATACTCTAGCCGAACGAACACAATGACTACCTTTACCCACCTCCCCTTCCTATACTCCGACCTTCAATAGTCCGTACCCACCCAAACAAACCAAATCTAGCCTAGCCGCCTCTCGGCCGTCGGATCCGACACATCGCCGACTCTAGTCAGTTTTCACCTGATCCAAACCAAGCCCACCAATCACAATCCCTCAAATCCCAATACCCACCTGACCTCAAAAGCCAAGGCACCCCGAAAAGGTTAGCCACTCGCAGATCACCCCCTTCATCGCGTACAGAAAAGTATATTTATAGATCTTTGGCTGGACCCTTCGGGGCTGGGCCGGCCCCCAATCGCGGGGAGGGGGCGCCATTGAACTCTTTCCAAGCTGCTAATGTTGAAAACTGGAAATGGGCGGAAAAACGGTCCATTGGAGGAGTGCAAACTGCAAATCGCAATTAAACTGGTATGGGTCTGTCAGGGTCTTCGCTGCTGACTGCTCAGGAACATGGAAACTAGATGGTTTTGATTGCCTAATTCGTAGTATGTCTTACACTTAGGCCGGTTTGTCTGATTTCCATTGGATGGGTTGACTTTGTGCCCTGAGTCTGAACTGGAAGATTTCTTTTACGACTTCAAACCTGGTCGAGACCTGATCTGTGCATGTCGGCTTGGATTCTTCCTTCAAAAAAAATGCTCGTCCCACCTATGTGCTCTACGAAGATCAAGTAAACGTCAATTAGACTGAGTGGAACAGTTTGGGGTATCAACTGGCTAAATTTTTAAACTATTACCTTTTTTCCCTAAATTTTCTGCTGATGTAACATAGAAGAGTTTAGTTGACATTATAACAGGTGTAGATATCTGAGATCGCCAGGAGTCAGATCGATTCGCAAAAAGGTAATGACGCTTCATCTATAGATGACATGCTCATCATTGAGCATGATCACCAAATGCAGAGCATATCTTCAGAGCGGTGGTGTCGCTTTCGTGCCTCATGACATGCACTGGCAACTGCAATCTTGCGTACACGCTTGACCCAAACATAGTGGGAGTGTCCAAAAAAAGAATAAAACAAGAGGGTCAAGAGTGAAAGAAGAATGAAAGAAAAAGAAAAGAGAGTAAAAAGAGACGTGAAAGAATTATAGTAGAAATTAAATGTATAATCATGCCAATCTCGCTCACATGCAAGAGCCGAGCTCAAAGGTATGCTGATCATCAAGTCCCAAACACCTTAATCATATCCAAATAGGAAAGTGTTGCAAAGTGGCATAAGAAATATAAGAAATAGCAGCTTGCTGCCCGGAAGGAGTGTCATAGTAGAGCTTTGCAGGAGATAGGAAAGGGAGTGGAGAGTCCTTGACTTGGTGATACACCACTGAGAACTGGCAATGACTGCCAGGAAAACAAGCGCCAAAGGTCATGTGATGATCGAAGGTCCATTCACACATTGGTTCGCAGACGTTGGATGGAGGTGCCTTGGATGGAGGTGCCGCCGGTGTTCGCGAGATGTCGAGATTCCTGGACGACGAACAAAACGGAAAAGGATGGCGGTGTATCGACAAGTATCAACACTTAGGGCTCATAGGGAATATCGGCGTCCTGCGGATACGCTCTTGATGAGCGACCTAACCTTCCTTCCTACTCGTAGGAAACCCTATAGTAGGCGGTGAGCCTCGTGCGCATATCGTATGTACCCCGACTGCTGCTCATCTGAACAGTTCCTTTGAGACGAAGCGTCGCATTAGTCGCGGGAGACACGGAATGAACTTTGAAGTTGCGTCAGCATGGTGTGAGATGAGCGCCAGCTGGGATGTCCCTGGAGACGGCCGTAACCGCAAGAGGTGAGGTAGATGTGTATAGCCGACCCGTGCTTAAATTTTACCGGCCGTCTTGGGATCGATCAGGGCCAGACTGGCCGGGACCCATCTGTCGAGTAGCAACCCAGTCTACCGGAGCGTCCTGCATTGAAGCAGGTGTTTTTTGCTCTTCAGTCCGACTACTGGTCTGTTGCCGAGGGAGAAGGTTGTTGATCTCTGCGACCAGTGCGGAAGCCATGTAGGCACGGAGTTCCTTTTCTTCGCGCTCGTCCTCTTTCATAAGTCGTCTTTGATCCGTCTTCGACATACTATCCCGTCGCTTTTTCCGGATCTCATGAATGACCCAGAGGAGGACCTCCTCTGGCACACGATTTCGCGGAGCGCCATGCTTGACCGGGCTTCGCACGTACCGTCTTGTAACATCTGTCGCACCGTCAATGGAGAAGGCAATGCAGTAGGATAGCTTTCGACCCCAGCCTGAGAAATATGGTCAGTCAGCATTCTACAACAGTCTGTAGCTTGACATCGAAGATTTCTCACCTTCAGTGTAAAGGCGCGGCTGATCCCAAGCCTCTTCGCACGCATCTACGTGCACCCAACGCCTTTGATGCTCCGAGTAGACCTCGGTCCAGACGTAATCCTCCGAATTCCATACCCATCGTACCCGACCACCCAGCGCTCTGCAGAACATGCTGAAACAGTTGGCCCATTCACCCACACGCCCTCTTCTGCTCTGTAACAATTGCCAGACATCAGAATATCGCGGAAATCGCTCATATGCACCACACGACGATTCTGAGCAGCGGTATAGTTCGACCCTTGT